TTTCTCATGCAGGAAATGCACTGGAACATTCACATCAGGCAACTGGTTGATATTTTGCTGGACCAATTTGGTTTTAAGGCCCATCCACTGGGCGAACCGCTTCCGGAACCAACTGACAATCATAAGAAACCATTTGCGCCGAGGACCCCCCTGCAAAGCCAGATCCACCATGCAGCCCTTCACGTCAACCAAACCATCAACCAACACACCCAAGAGCTCCAGACAAACCCCAACGCTCCCCAGACCTTCTGCCTCCGGTATCCAACCTACGAGAAGTTTGTGGAGTACTCCATTAGCATGGAGAAAAAGTGTAAGCTTTTGCCAAAGGACAAAATGGTTGTGTTGTTGGAAGAGGCTGGAAGATGTGTGGGGGTGGCTGTTCCGCCTGATCATACTAAAGAAGATGGGATATTCTTATCACCCCCTGTAAGTGGATTTGATCATGTAACCTCTTCTTAATATTCATATCTTTTAATTACCCCATCTAATTCTACTTTGCTGATATTATTCAACATAGGATCGTGCACTGGCTGGCCTGAATGATGCCATTAAGAATTGCAATTGGAACGAGGCCAAGGATGAAATAGTGTACAGTACTGTTCCCCCACCTGGTCCCCTTCAAACTCCAAAACCCCTGGATATGGACAACAAAGGGGAAATCCGTGATCCAAAACCCAAAACCACTGAAGAAGAAGAACCACCATCCAATGCTTTCCAGCCCCCTGCCCAACAATCCCAGACCCCCCACCACCCCCCAAATCCCAAACCCCAGGCAGCCTTGCCACTGTACGCTTCTAAAACCCCTGCGCCAAAGCGTAAATCCCATCCAGACCCTCCAAATCCCAAACCCAGAGCAGGCAAGGCAAAAAAGAAATGTAAAACATCCAAATATTTGGAGGACAACAACAACACTAACACCGACCCCAATCCTCTCCCACCACCAGAACCGCAACTCAATACTAAAGGAAAAAATACAATTTCCTATCAGCCTTATGGATATGGACTGGGAGAAGTATGTATTTGAACTATGCACTTACTTATTATTCTTGTTTTTCAATTGTATTGCCATTGCTTTTAGAAAAATTCCACAGGTATGCAGGACCTTAAGATCCAAGTGAAAGTGACGCCATCTGCACGACCTCAAATCGACGAATCATCACTTCAAGGACGTGGTATTGGTTGGAGGGACAAGCCAAAAGTGGAGCCCAATCTCCCAGACCCCCAAAAGACAGGTACCAACCGCTCCAACTGCCTGGAGATGGTTAACATGAGGAATGAATTGAAATATCAATTTGCTTTATCTCTATGGATAAATAAAGCATTCTTACCTCAATCAGTTGATGTTGCAGAAAAAGCGGTTGAGTATCTCCTGGCCAATGGATCTGGATGGTTGCGTGAAACCTTGCTTTGTGAATCCAACAAGATCCTTGCTTGTAAGTATCATTCTCTTGACTTATATCTTCTCAAAATAATTGGTAACTGATTTTGCTAATCTCACTACATTAGCACGCACCATCAGTTTGAACACTCAGGTTACCACCCACCGCGACAAGAAGAATGCCCTGTTATTTGACACTGACTTCTTCTTTGGTAATCACCTTGGAGGTGAACTCTTGCTTCCCTCTTTAGGTGTGGCATGTCATGGCCTTCATGGCTATTCCTTCCATGGACCGGGGCTGCCCCGCCACCTCCAATCCAAGAAACCGGAAATGCAGCTGTCAGAGGCAGTTTGGTTGGTGTCCTGCAAGGCCAGTTGCATTTGTCAGAGAGCAACTTGGCACTTGCAAATCAGTTATTCCTAGTAAGTGCCACCGCAATCATGCCTCAGATGAGACATGAACATCCTCCGGTGCACCTTGCTTACATTCTATCCTCCCACCACAAGCATTGTCATAGGCCACTGAAGAAGAGAAGTGGCACCTGACCGCTGTGGTGGTCCAGGCTGTTGTGCGCAACAAAACTGCCAAAACCCCTACCTTATAACCTAAAACACTTACATATATGAATATATTATTGCATAATCAGAATATACATACAATTTTACCCATATTCACTCACTACAACTATCCCTCTATCTCTATTAGTTTACAAGATAATCCAATATAAAGGTTAAAGCCATACCATAACTAGTCATTAATTAGTATTTAATAGTAGTTTACCACATATATATATGTACATAAACATAGATTATTACATCAGCAGGCCTCCACCAGTAGTGCAGACCATTTATGCAATTCTTGCATGCGTATGTGCAACCATTAGGCCTCCACTTAGTTACTTAATTGAATTTACGCAGACTTTGCATAAATGCATGTGGACAGGAAAACCTCCACCAGGCAGTGCAACCAGTTATGCAATCCTTACATACAGTAGTACCATATTTAGTTATTTCCACAGCATAATTAGCTCAATGCATGTACTCTTTGCAGGAGGCAGTGCAACCCACAAGGTCACCACCAGCAAAATAACCTCAACTGCATCACCACCAGCAAAAATAACTCAGAAAAGAATATATAAGGAGGCCTCTCCTTCACCAATTCCCCCCCATCATCACCCAGCAGGTTCATCCCCCACAACCAGCTCAGTGGTCATCATCATCCAAGTCTAGTCAACACCAGTAACAACAACAACACCAACACCAACAACAACATCAACAACCAACAGTTTCACTACTTATCCAGAATCACCGTAAAAACCATAAACCCTATAAAAATATTCCACTTGGATTGTTTTCACACCCATACTCACCGTGTAAAGGTTGTACAACCATCTTGTATTGAATTACATACTGATCTAGGTCTGACAGAGACTACTACATATAAGTTTTCTCCATCATAAAGTTACGCCACAACAATAAATTAAATTGTTGTCAGAATTCTTGTGTAGTAAATAGAGGGGCAGGTCTTTCAAACCACCCGTAACAGTAAATATTATCTAGTGAAATATCATATTGTTATTTCCCCCTCAAGGACTGCCAACCCATCCCAAAGGAGTTCTCACACCGCCTTGATGTTTATACATCTCCTGGGAAAAACACCGGATGCCATGGTCTCGAACTCCTTGTCACTCACTGTGACGGTGAAAAACTTTGCCTTTTCGACTCACATCAAGGTTAGTGGATTCCACCCTGCTTGCTGGGGGCCCATGGGGCTTAGCCATGGGATGACGTATGTTGAAGTCTCATTTTATCACATGAAACACAATCCAGTGTTTCATTCGAGACCAGCTCAGATTGATCCTGGCCAAAGGCAATGTCAATGCCTACACTCGAACCATGACCATCGGAAACTCGACCCCAATCAACCGAACCCCTTTATTGTTACTCAAGGCATGTCCTATCTTTTGTTTCAGCCTTTGTTTTTCCTACAGTTAATTCTGATGTATATACCTTAAAATCTAGGCTTATATCCAATCACAAAGCCCCTCTTTTCACAAGGACTACCTGCCCCCAGGATACCCTAGGGACTTATCGGCCAGTGCAAAGGTTCTCAAGCTGATGAGGAGCCTCTTGAAGAAGGAAAAATGCCTTTTGCGCACACTGGTAAGTTCATCTCAACGTGCAACTGCCAAGAATGAACCCTAACCCAACCGGTGTCCTTACAATTACCCAGCTCCTTCATAACATCAAGGAGCAAAATCCTAGGCCCATCGACGGGGCCGTTCCAGATCTGGATGGCCTAGTTTTAATTGTAAGTTCAGCTGCGTTACAAACACCTTGTCCCCCTTCCCTGCTGACCATTTTCCACGAATCCTTGCATCTAGATTGATACATATATGGCCGCTCGCAAGCAGGTCAGGCCGGTAGCGGATATCCTTCAAAGTTACCTGGCAAGTGTCAGGACTAGGCTGGCATTTTTACGACTCTACATTGTTGTCCATCTTATTCATTGCGACCCCAAGGAAAATATATCTCAATGGGAGTTGATCGATCAACAACTTGAGTTTGTTAAGGGCCAAAGTGACCTTTACCGAATTGTGTATGTAGACAAATTTCCTGCCTGTAAATTTAAATTCCTTCCACATAGCAACTGAATGAAAATTGCTTCAACAAACAGGTACAGTCGTGTTGTCGAAGCAATTGACAAGGAGTTGTTTGGCCATGGGATGAAATTTGAAGATAATGGACCACAAAGACATCCGGGTCCCAACTGACAAAGATGTTCAGGAGGAAATTTGTGTGATGTCTGCTAGCGGCGGGAGCGCGGTTGAATCTAGTCCTTTCTGTTGAGGTTTGGGGGCCCAGAACCCATCTCTCCGGCTCAAGTTGAACATCTACCTCTGTCCTCTACTTTCTTTACCACCCAGGCAGAGTGACTGCCTTTTTCTCCCATGCTCAAGCTCAAAAAAATGGTCTATTAGTATTGACCTGTCACGGTGAATGCTATTCCTTTCAATGATCTCAAATGCCAGAACAGGCCAATTTTTTTTACTACCGACCACAATTTTTTACTCCTGACACTCTATCTAAGTGAATTGCCGTGAAAAAGAAATATATGAATTTTTGAATGCACCTCCATCATGCGGATCGTGTGTGCCCAAACCAATTTTTGACGCCTACTTGAGGAGTCTGACACCGGGCTATAAATTGGTGTCTTAACCACCGGTCTATCAATGTGCGTAACCCGCTCACTTGTATCCGGTTCAATTGCGACACGGGCGGATCTCTTGCCAACCCGCCTCCCAATCCGCTTCAAGAAAAACCTTGACATGCGGGCTTGATCCTCCAACCGTGTCCATCGATCTCCTGGATCGGATTGGCTGATCCTAGTGCGGATCCTCATGATCCGTCGGAGAATCAGTGAGTGGAGGAGCGGAGCACAAACGGCCGCTGGTGGTCAGAAATGAGCTCGTCTAATTGTCGGTCGAGGGCGGCTTGACGACAAATGAGCGGGGATCTTGCAGCGATTCCTCCGATTTATCGCGGTGAATAAACAGTCGGTCAAAGGGGTTATAGGTTCGACGGCGTTTTGCCCCTGATCTCCTGGTGGGGTCAAAGTGGTAGAATTTGCGAACTTGACACAAGTCTCTGGCTGCGGGGGGCACATCTGGCAGCGTAGCGCTGGCCAGGCGGTTCCCAAAGGGAACTCCCCGCAGGGGAGACTTGGGCCAGAGGTCGACCAACTCAGGTGCTGAGTTTGGATTGTTTTGGTGGGAGCGTCACAAGATTTGAAATCCTGACACTCCCTCAAAACTTTTTTGATGTTTGGTCTCGGATTTTTAAAAACCTGCCTGATCTTATTGATCAGGCAAAATTTCAAAGTTTTAGAATCACAAAAACAATTAATAATGATTTTATCAAATCAGCATTTGAGCTTTCTTTTACGCTGACATAAGCGGTTTGATGAACTCGCACACGCCAAAAAAGCTCGACTTTAGTTGAAAAGTTGTCATTTTCAAAAATAACTACATCAAAACTCACAACATGACACCAGAATGTGAGCAGAGGGAAGAATGTACAAGAAGCAGACCCTCCTTGGGCCACAAGTAAACTAGATAACAGTGGAAGAAGAAGAGCATAGGCAGAAAAATGCACAGAAAACTGGGTTTCAAGCCTAATTTTGAAAACTCAGCACGCGGGGATTGCCGCATCTGTCTTAGGCCTCCACTGGCGTGGACAGCTCCGCTGCTCGCTCCCGCTCCCGCCGTGGAGGCCTAGTTAGGCTCGTAGAATTTGCCGCAAACTGGCGGAGAAATTGCCGTCGAACTTGTGCGCCTGTGTAACTGCGCGGACATGCCGGTCCGACCAGTCAGCGGACCGGCCGGCCTGCGCGAGCAGTTCTCGGACATAGCCGTCCGACGAGTCGTCGAACTGGCTTGTCCGAGCTGTTGACGGCGGAACGATCTGCTCGGACAGGCGAGTCGGACGGACTCCGACCTCTCGTGGGACAACCATGTCCGACAATTGCTCGGACAGGCCGGTCCGAGGATTCGTCGGGCTGGCCAGTCCGAGCAGAGAGTTTGCGCAGTGTCTCAGCTCAACACCAACCTCAACTATCCGCGGACCGCTCTCATCCTCGACGCCATCGACTCCGCAATACAACTTACAAGCTCAACTTGCTCACTCGGAGCAACCGATCGATGGTCATCAAGGTCTTGCTCTAACTTCTCACCCTCGCTTGCAGGACTCGAATCTAACCTTGATACACTGGTTCATCTTTCTCGTCGTTCTTCTCTGCTCGTCGTTCTTCTCTGCTCGTCTCCTTCGTGTCGTGACTCGAAATCATATTGGTAAATGACTTGTTTCAATCTCTCTTTCTCTGTCTTTCTAATTTCTTCAGTCATTGATTGTTTCTTCTCTTCCGTCTTGCAGGGATCTGTTTTTAGCACTTTACGTCGACAGGCCTCACTCTCACAAGTCGGTCAACAGCCCTCACTCTCACAAGTCGCTCCACGCCCATACTCTCAGGATGGTACCCAAAAGAATCTGGCTATCGTACAACAATCAGCTCAGTTGCGTTCTAACACAAGAGCTCGAGTTCGTTATTGACCTCGCCAAGGCGGCCAGAAACGAATTCTTGCCTTATCTGCGTGACTTCGCCACGTCGGATATCACCCTGCATGTCGATGAGGATGCAGAGGCGCTGGCTACAGACTCAGCCCTTGCGGAAATCGCGGCACAACTATCCCCTTGCGGCGTCTCAAAGACTCCTCTTATAGTGAAAGGTGAGCTTCGGTCAAGCCTCCATTCCGTCCATGTCCAAGCTCTTGTGCCAGCAATACTAAGCTCAAGCTCCCGCTGTGCTCTTTTCCCTCTTCCTGCTTGATTATTAAACATTTAGTCCCAGAATTTAAAGCAGGATCGAAAGTTGAAGAGGGCCTCCTACGCTTCTGGAAGGCTCTACCAGAGGCCAGTTTGGTTGTCGACGGGGAGGTGGAATACTTGGAGCTAAAAGAGTCTTACATTCTCGGAATCAAAAAACTTGGTGACCGCCTACTCGTGCGCCCTATTTACAAAGAGCTCTGCGAGCTTTTTGAGGTCGAGGGCTATGATCAATGGGTCGTTACCGGTACTCCTGGGATTGGAAAAACCTTTTTTTCCGTCTACTACATGTGGATCGCTGCGCGCAAGAAAAAAGCTGTGTTGTGGCAGAATCCCTTCTTTCCTGATGATGTGTGCTATTTGATGACATCAAGCGGCATTGCACCGGTTCGTACTTGGGGTTCTGAGATTGACGGCGTTCTCGCAAAATTCGACCCAGTACACATTGTGGATGGTCGAGCTCCAAACTTGAGAAACGTCTGGACTCTCCTCGTCACCTCTCCACAGCACAATCACTACCACCAATTTCTCAAAGACGACGATTCAAATCTATTGTATATGCCGCCTTGGAGTTATGAGGAATTGCAAACTTGCAAAGCTATCCTTTATCCAGATGAACGAATATTGCCCACAACGCTCATGGACCGGGTTTTCAAATGGTACGGCGGTGTGCCGAGATACGTTCTTGCTCGGGCCTCAACTGAATTCAAACGAAAGGGTGGCAACGAGGACGCCGCATTTCAAGCGGTGAATCGGAGTCTGACTGAAGCCATCAACCGAGGTGGCATAATGGATGCTATCAAAGCCTATCAGAGCAAAACTACCGATGGACAATATTCGCATCGTGTGATACACATTTTTAGTCACCCCTCTGGAGAACTCACTCAGTTTCACTTGTCATGGGCATCAGACCAAGTAGCAACCGAAATGTCCAAAATATATGAGCAAGAACTTCGCTTTAACATTCTGAACTTGCTCCGAAATTTTCCCGATGGTAGCAATTTCCGTAGAATGCTCTTCGAGATCCACGCTCAAAACGTGTTGCAAGAAGGTGGAACCTTTCAAGTCCGTCCACTTGGCGAAGGAGATCCGCGAAGTGGCCAGGACATTAAGATCACGTTTCCCGCAGCCGAACGTCGGACCTTCATAACTTACGAAGAAGTTAACCTACGCACCGACGTGTTCTGGAAGCCGTGCAGTCCAACTCTGGCTTCAATTGATTTGTTGCGTGGACCAGCAAATTGTTTTCAAATTACAGTTTCCAACACACATCCGATCAAGCACCAGGGCCTCAGCAAAGCTCTAGAGCTGGTGGACAAGTCCGAATCCAGCCGAAGGCTTTACTTCGTGGTCCCATCCAATATTTATTCGACTTACAAACATCAGCCGTATCATACCAAAGACGGGAAGATATACAAGCGAAACCTTGGTGACGTTGGCAAAGTAGAGCAGTGGGCTTTGATGATTCCAATAGGGGCCGAGAATCTGTCAAGAGGAGATGAGGAACCCCCCAAAAAGAAGCAGACTGTCTGAAGAGACACGCCAAAAAAGACTGTTGTGCTAGCCCCCTTATCCATCATCTGAATAGAACTATAGTCCAGACAACTCCACCATGCTCACAGAAATTGCCACACTGCTTGATTGGACAACTTACACACATCATCAGTCACAATTGGATATGCTTGTACTTGCATTATGCTAGATCTGCAGTGTTATAAGTAAAATCAAAAACAGTATAAAAAAGTAAATGTGTTATATCACATAAGTTCAAGGATCAATTTCACTATGATGTTTTGACAATATTCTTGTCTTCAAAGCAGTTGACAAACTGAGTTGTCTTGACCATCTGATTGGTCTTTCCCAGATTAGGCTTGTGTTCTCTTTGTTATTTTATCCTCATTATGATGGTGTGTAATCTACACTGCAACCAATGGAGATTTGAGTTAAGGCCTACAAAAACATGTGGGCAGTATGATTTGATTAGAGGGGCAAGAAGAAGGAATTCTGATTCAGAATTCAATTAGGTGAATAAGATATACACACATGGCTCACTGTCACCATTGGGATCAGAATTGACATCTTACTCTAGATCATCCAGCAGAGCAGGGGGTAATTCCCCCACAACCAGCAGTTGTGCCAAGAGCTGATTGTGAATGTCCTCTTACTCTAGTTGTTGAGGAGAGGAATCCATATTGAAACGCCACAGCAATCTTTGTGACTTGCTGTTTCCGCAAACCTATGTCTTTTCTGTGTAGGGCAGTTTGGCAAAGAACATCCAAAACCTGCTTAGCCTATGTCTTTTCTTTGTAGGGCAGTTTGGCAAAGAACATCCAAAACCTGCTTAGCCTATGTCTTTTCTTTGTAGGGCAGTTTGGCAAAGAACATCCAAAACCTGCTTAGCTTTATACCAATGTCAATTCAGTGGCCATGAGCACACTTTCTGATTGAACCTTTTTTTACTAGGCTAGCACCACTCAGCCAAAAGTCATTCAGGATTAAATACTGTCTTCATATTCTATAAGGGGGTTGGGAAAACAACTCCCAAATATTTTCCAACAACACCTATTCTGGTCAAGGGGCTGTATGCAGGAGTTTTTTTTCCAATCCCCCCTCAGGGGGGATTGGAAGTCAACCTCCCAATTCAATTTTTTTGGGGGGGAGGAGTTGGTGCCCCAAACCCTCCTTGGCAAGTGGAAGGTTTGGGAGTTGCCTCCCTCCCACTAGCCAGGAGGGATTCCCTCTGGTCATCAAGACTGTACAGTCTTTTTGACCAGAAGAAATCCCTTCTGGTAATCAAGATTGTACAGTTGGTGACCAGAAGGAATCCCTTACAGCCAGTGAGACCCTACCAGCCATTGAGACTGTGAAGTATTGATGGCTGGAAGGAATCCCTTCTGTTCATTTAGACTGTAAAGTATTGATGGCAGGAAGGAATCCCTTCTGATCATGGAGACTGCAAAGTCTTGATTGCCAGAAGGAATCCCTTCTGCTCATGGAGAGTGTAAAATCTTGATGACCAGAATTAATTCCTTATGGTCATCAAGACTGTAAAGTATTGATGGCCAGAAGGAATCCCTTTTGATCATGGAGACCGTAAAGTCTTGATGGCCGGAAGGAATCCCTTTTGGTCATCAAGACTGTAAAGTCTTGATGGATGGGTGGAATCTCTTCTATTTGTTGGGACTTCACAATCTAAATGGCCAGAAAGGATTCCTTTCAGTCATTATGACTGTACAGTGGGTGGACCGTTATTTTTGGCTGCTTGTTTTGTATCCCAGAGCTTCAAAGCACCAGATTGAAGTCATGAGACTTGGTCAATTGGTGCAGAATAGGCCCCAAAAAATGAATATGAAAAAATAAAAACAAAAAACAAAGTTTCAAAATTTGTGAAAAATAAAAAATAAAATTTATTTTTCTCAAAAGCTTGGATATTCCTTTTGGGGGAGCAAGAGTGCTGAGAGAAAGGAAGATTGGGATATTAGAAGAATGATTATGAATGAAAATTTTGGAAAAATTGCTTTCCAGATGGCTTCAAAGAGCTGTTGATTGGGGAATTCACCAGCCCACATTGCAGTAAAGCACTAGAATTTACTGTTTTGGATCCCATCTGGACAACCAACCTGGCCAAACCTTTTTTGGTTCTAATTTTTTTCATTTATAATCATTCTTCCCATGTTCCACTCTTTCTTTCTCTCAGCACTCCCACTCCCCCAAAATGAATATCCAAGCTTTTGAAAAAAATCAGTTTTATTTTTTATTTTTCACAAATTTTGAAACTTTACTTTTTGTTTTTATTTTTTTGTATTCATTTTCTGGGACCTATTATGCACCACTTGAACAATTCTCATAACTTCAAGTCTGTGTTTTGGAGCTCTGGGGTCCAAAACAGGCAGCCAAAAATAACGGTCCACCCACTGTACAATCTCAATGGCCAGAAGGGATTCCTTCTGGTCATCAAGACTTTACATTCTCAATTAACAGAGGGAATACCTCCTGGACAGCAAAAGGGAGGTGACTAAAAAGCCTTCCACTTGACAAGGAGGGTTTGGGGAACTGACTCCTCCCAAAAAAAATAGAATTGGGAGGTTGACTCTCAATCCCACAGGAAGGATTGAAAAAACAAATACCGTCAACAGCCTCTCAGCCAAAATGGGAGTTGTCAGAAAATATTTGGGAGTTGTTTTTCCAACCCCCAGTTTAAAGCACAAATTGGCCATATTTTTGGCATATTGTGAACCAAAATTCTGTCAGATGTGTGTACATATTCAATAATGTTTTTAAATTGATGTTCAACAGTGGACCGGCCCAATACCATAACATGTTGTAAAGTGACAAAAAATTCTTTACTTTTTGATGTTATGGTTATCAAAATCTTGCCTTTTTCCCAATAAAAATCACTGTCAGGGATCAATAAAAGCCCTCAATAACAGCTGATACATGCTGTATTTTGTTGTTACAGCCTGTATGGGTGGGTAAAGCATCATCAAGTATGAAAACTTAATAACCTTTGATAAGATAACATAAAAAGAAAAGAAAATAGGCCAATATTTTATGCAAAAAAGGTTGAAACAATTGTACCTTGTTGGCCCACTATTGCATTGGGTAGTAGCTTATTAGAAACTTGAAATATTTCATAATCCTCTCAGGTGGATGACCCCCAAGTTGAGATTGTTGGCTGTCTAGATGAACTCATCATTGCTGAGCCTGGAGGGGCAACTCAGGTCCTGGTCAGGAGGGTGTGCCAGCCCCACTCATAAAGTCAGATGTGAAATTCATTGAAAGTGTTGTTTAGAGATTTTCTTCAACCATTCATCCAAACACTCTGGACTAACAAGATTCAAATTAATCAAAATTACTGGTGAAGTGTGTGCAGCTAAGAGTATCTAATAAAGTGGCTGAGAAAGCTCTTAGACATACCAAAGGTTCTTCAGAAGATGTGTTGCTAGATTTTATTTCTCATGCAGATCTGAAATGATTTACTTGGCTTTTTGATCACCTTGAACAAGGGTCAAGAGCTGCACATCTTAATGTGACATGTCAATCATAGACCTCTCCCAATATTCAATAACAATTCTTAAGAAAAATGCCCAAACAAAATAATAATTTTCTTGACCTTTATTGAAATTATTGATGTAATACTGAAATTGTAATGTTTGGTTTTGGTGATCACTGCATTATGTATTTATGTTTTGAAACTTTTCTAAAAACTATAACAGAGTTTGCCAATGGATAAATTACACACTTAAAATATTATCAGAGAACACAAGTTGATTGGAAGGAAATCTATAACAGAAGATACTACTTGCTTGATATCAGTTTTTCCACTGAGTTAGTTTTTGGAATTTTTCTCAATGCTTCAGCAATTGCTTTCCAAAATACATCCACCTTGATCATACGACCTTGCTTTGAAACATTTTCTTGACACCAATACCCCATCAATGCCACTGAAACTATGCCTGACTTATGTAGATTGATCCCCTCCTCAATTAACATCTTTGAGAGATAAATTTGAGCGTCACTGAGCAATGCTTTAGATTCGTCCCTAGGAAGTTTGAGTCTTGCTAATCCAATCAGAGGCACCTGATCTCTTCCGGTCTGTTCAAATATGAACCATTCAAGTAGTGGTCGACCGAAGTTTTCCGCAAACCCAGTAATACTTCTATCCAGTCCAGTAGAAACAAGCGCATTGTGAAACAGATCTAGGGTCTGAAAGATCAGATCAACTCTCTGTGCAAGAGTTCCTAACCAAAGAAGGCCCCCTCTGCTTAAGATTCTTTGTGTAAGTCTGATCAAGACCTTGTTCCTTCCTTTGGCATCTATCTCAGTGGGCCTCCATTTGATTGATATTGGTAGATCTCCCGGTATTTCACTTTGCAACGGGGTATAACCAGTATTCGATAACTCTTTGGCTAACTCGAAACGCTGGTAAATGTCCTTCTTAATCTGCTCTGTGCTTTCTGGATTTTGAGGAGGAAACCTAACTGTGCGTCTGATGAGAACTTTCCACCAATTTTTGAGACCAAAGTCGTTCAAACCTGTTGAGTTGATTAAGCCTTTTTCTTCCTCTCCAATATTGGGCTTTTTGCAAATCCTGCGGCGGAGTGGGCGGGTTTTCTTACTAGGATGTGTTTGACGGTCCAATCCAAGTATTTCACGCTCTCTGGGGTGTGTTGTCGGGAGGGATCCAAGGCACTTTACCTGCTTTTCATTTTTTTCTGGATGTTATGTAGGTGTGATTATGTGTTGAAAGCGGCTTGGTGTCAGTAACCATTGAAGAATTTAATTCGACTGTGTTTAAAGCTGACCTTATCCCACTTGTGCTACTAACGCTGGGCCCTGAGATACCTGCTAAATCAAGATTTGATCTATCAAGAAAGCTGTCCTTTAACTCTGCTGAATATCCAAGAGCACGGGGTAAGAATTGTTATGAAAGCTTCAGCCACCAGTAAGCCTCGGTATCAATTGTGGGAATTGATTTAATAGTACCTCACCATGCCGAGGGAAGTAAAACACAGGAAAGCGACCAGGGTATTCCTCTGAAATTGTCTTTGGCCTTGAGGATATTGGTTCTGTTAGAATAAGCATCATCTATATATTTTAGGGAAAAGAATGAATAGACCAGGATTCGAACCTGGGACCTCAGCATTAGCTAAGTCACTTTACTAGGAGTGATGCCTTTTACCACTAGGCTATCACTACAGGCAAACAGGTGTCGCTGCGGCCCGCAGCGTCACCTAACCCAAAGGGGCCCCCCTTGGGTTAGGTGACGTTCCGCGCGGGAGCGTCACCTAATTGCCCGTAGTGTATCCAGTCTTGTCCAGGATGTTGATTTATATGATACTAGGGAAGAGTGTGGCTGGCGCCACATCTGAGTTATTAAGAATTGTCAATTTCACATATTTACATAATTTATTCATGGAACATGTCATAAGCTAGAATTGTCTTGTGGAGCTAAGTGCCTGTCTAA